CGAACGCCTATGATGATACAAATTTTACGACTGTTTTATGACTTTGAGGCACATTTCGTGCTCTCAACAATTTGTGAAGGGATTATAGCAATTAAGGTCAAATCTTTTTTTTTGCTTTTGATTTATGGAATAACTTTGGAAATCGTGGTTATCCAACCTTCTATTTCTTTGCGAAGTTTTATGTATTATGTGGATGATAATTTTATTATCTTAATTTAAACAACATATAGAAACTTTTTTTTTCTCTTTTGCAATTTGTTCAACTTTGCAATTAATTTTGTCTCAATAATCAGTATTTGATTTATTTTGTTATTTTCGCCGTGTATACAAAGTGTCTTAGGTAGGACTAATTTATTTTTATTGTTTCCTCTCTGTTGACTTTGAGTTACTTTGTTGATATTCTTAACATTTTTTTGTCTGCCCACATCTAGAAAGCATATATTTTTATTAGTTTGACGAGCTTTAACGTCCATGTCTCAGATATGACAATTTTTTAAATGTTTTACTGTCGGTGATTTAATTACGGTCATTTAAAAATCACCGTTAACTAACGCTTTCATGCTAACTTAGATAACCGTTACCAGTGACCGATATAATATCACATATCAATTTCATGGTCATTGTCTTACAAAATGTTTTTATACAAATATTATGATGTTCCTGATGAAAGTAATTCGGGAAACGGTGACTAGCACTAACAGTGATTTAACAGCAGTTTAAAGCAGATGTATTTCCTCGAAAGGAAATACATCTATGTACAGTATTGCCCAAAATAAACAGTACTGAAACATAGATGTCTCTTTGTGCGAACTGTTATATTTAAATTAACTAGTATAGACCGGTCAAGTAATCCTTAAACAATTAATTATTAATTTGAGAAAAGGCAGCAAATATTTGATTTCACGCAAACAAATCCTATGTATCTCTTGATACGTATTTCGACCTAATAGATCTCGTCAGAAGAGCTATTCATAGGGCTCCTCAACGTGAAAAATCAATATTTTCTGCCTTTTAAGAAGCAATATGGCTTCAATACGGACGCAATAGCGACATCTAATTACAACAATCGTAAAATAGTTTCGAAACAAAATTCAGATTTCTGCTTTATAATCTGAGCCTTCTAAAAATTGCAAGGCAAACAGACGTTGATAAAAGATCTTAAACTAACCTAACCTAACCTAACCTAACCTAACCTAACCTAACCTAATTATTAATTGTTAAAAATGGTGTTAAGTACAGAGGAGCAAGTGTTTCTTGTGAAGCATTATTTTTGCTCATACGAAATCGGCCGACGCAATAATGCAAGTCTGCAATATGTGTGTGACGTGATCAATAAATCCACACAACGGTTTAATAAACGTTCTACAAGTGTGCTGTAATTTTGAAGGTTTTTGAAAAGTTTAGAAATACGGGTAATGTATTGTGCCTCGAAAACCAGCCAGACAAGAATATCGTTGCATCTTGGCTTAGAACGATTTTCTTCATCTACTGATCTACGTCAATTTTGTAGTGCACGTAATTTGGCATTTCGATGCCAATTTTTTCAGCAGGATGGGGCATACTGCTTTCGCAGTTCGTCAATTTCTTCAGGAACATTTTTCAAAGAAATTCATTACACGATTTAGTGACACATAACATTACGAGAAATCTGAAATATGGTATAAAGTCTGTCTTGAGAGAGGAGGAGCTCATTTAGAACATATTTTAAAGTGTCAGTAATATGTATTTTTTAAAACAATAAAAATTACAAGTTCAGTACTATTTATTTTGGGATTTACTGAATTTAGTGTAATTCTTAAAATATGTGAAAACAATTTAATTTGGAAATTTTAACTACTTACCGCCCTCCAAGTGTTTCATTAAATAAATAAAACTTACAGAGGTCTGAAAATGTCCTATATTTATTATTCAAGTTGGTATATTGCATTATAAAATAATGGAATACATAAAATAATTGGTATATAGTGTGTCAATTTTAAAACTTACAATATAAGTTTCTAGGATAGTAAGGGGGAACTAAAATAACATAAAATCCCCACCTACACATAAAAGTTTAAATTGTAAACTCCTACTTGTAATACATAATTGAAAAGGTTATAAAGAATGCTATCCAATGGTATAAATAATAATTATACAGGGTGAAGCAATAATTGTGAAACTTTGGCTTAAATGGAAAATGTAATAAGGTTTTTGTTGATTCTGTTGATAACCCTGTATAATTAATTTTTAATAATTATACAGGCTATTAATATCAGCAGACTTACTACTAAACTAAAGTTTTACTTAAATTTGGTTGTGGTACCGTATGTCTTCGAGGCGCTGGATGAGGTTGGATGCAAGAACCTTGATGCCTTTGTTTTCTGGCTCTCTTAGAGTTTCGAATATATCTGACTACCTTCAATATAATGACAATTAACATAAATGAGGAATCCATTGATGGTTACCAATGGTTTTCCACGTGTGTTCGGATATATCTTGGTCAAACTGCTCTGCGTCAAGTACAATATTTGGCAACTCATCTCCCCGAATATCTATATTATGTCTAGGAATGTTGTTCTGCTTTATGATTGGCCTCTGCATAAGCTCTTTTATTGGAGTGACGCGAGTCTTTAAATAACTTGCCATTGCTGTTTCCAATCCATTATTGCATGTGAATAATATTATGTTTTGAGTCTGAGCAACGCAATTTGGTGACAGCTTTATAAAACTCATTTGATTGATTAGGTTTAGATCGAGAAACATGGCATATTATAGCTGAATTTATAGCGTATGGCGAAATGACGAGCCACAGGTTCGGTGTGCTCATTTTTAACCAACTGACTTCCTTTATCATGTACTCTATTATATTGCAGGTGGTGTTGTAGTTCTTCATATAATTCATTTAAGATACAGTTTCGCTGAGTATCCATATTATTGGTTCCCATAGGTTAAACATGCTAACTCTCCTTTGTTAAATTTTATACACCTTCCTTTATCTTTATATGTTACTTCCAAATAGTGTAAGTTATCGTAATCTACTACAAGTAGATTCCTTGGGACCAACAACGAGCGTACAACACCACCTCTCACTGACAATGGAAGAGGTGTGATTCTCAGTAGGTTGTATCTAGTATTGTTAATTATCAGGACATAGCTAATAATGACAATGTCTTCTTCATTTTGTACTATCGTATCTATTATTGGCTGCATTCTTATATCTACTCCTTGTGGAAGAAACTTTGTAGCATTCGAAATGATTGACTCTATTTGTCCAGGTTTTATAATATCTGTGAAGTGTCCATGATTGTAATAAATATTTAATATTTTTTCGTATGCTTTCGCTTATTTTTTTGCGTATTCCAATGCGCGGGTATAAGTCGTTTCCACTTTAAGTCGTATGTACTCTTGCTCTAATGTGTCAGCTCTATATGAGACATCACTTAGGGCTTTAGACATTTCCTTAGTTCCGTTTATTAGTGCTTCTCGGAACCTATTTAAATGTCCGTTTATTCTTTCTTTTGTAGAGTTAATCGAGTCTATTGTTTGTAACATCACCTTCGTCTGATGTTTTGAATTTTTTATTAGATTCTTCTGATCTTCATCCAAGGAATCTATCTTCTTGTATACTTCATCATTTATCCCAAATACTGATGTAATAACTGTTCCTAGAAGACTTCTCTTCGGCATTCTTTAAAACTTCCAGATCTAATGCTCGACTTATCATTTTTGCTCGTTCGTATTCCTCTTTTAGCTGGCTCGATAGTGAATCGACAATTTATTATATTGCTTGTCTTACACATATCTTCCAGCGTTTTTACCATTGAATCCATCGTTCGTTTACCGTCTAATTTTTTTTTTTTTTTAACCAACACTAGATGCTACAAAGAATATAGCTTTCCTGGACGACACCTGGATTCTATCAAGGCAGACGAAAGTTCAGAAGTCATGATTTTGATTTGTGCTCGTTTCAGTAAGGTTTCACCTTCCAGGGTCGCAGCCGCATTATCATTAGCATTTTCATTGTTGTTTAAGTTTGTTAAGTTAAGCTGTTTAAACTTGGATTGCTAACAATGCATCCTGGACGGCCTTTCTGCCTATACGAGAGTAAACATTCTTTGCGTTCTGCAATCGTAATTATATCCAAAGTATTTGCATGGCATATATCGAAAAGCTACTTAAAGTTATAAATAAAGTCATAAATCTTATTAAACGCCTATATTAAAGACGTTTAATAAACTTTGCTTCATTATTTTTGTGAGCCTCAGTTTTTTGGCAAGAAGATGGCAATAAACTGTGAAACCGATGGAAATAAGGCAAATTTTGTTTAAATCTCGCTTGTCATGACGAAAAAGATAATTCTATACTAAGAGAGAATACTATTTATTATATTACAATAAGTATATAATCTATGAGCTTATTAACAGGTTTTAATTTCATTAATAAATTTTAATGTTTTTCCTATGCTTAATTGTAACTGATGAGCGATGAATTAATAATATCTTTTATTTTAAATCATTTATATTATTGGCTAGAATTTTAACTACATGACTAATTTTAATTGCATAGGGCCAAGCTAAAAGTTTAGGGGCCCCGCCCGGGGCAACCTTTAAATATTTTTGGTATATATAAACCACAAAATTACCGCTTTTTAGGACACTCTTATTTTTCCTTGTCACCTCTTTCGAAATATTCACTTTAAGGCCAATGATAAGTATGCGATATGTACAAAAGAGTAACGACTCTCTCGAAAGGTGAGGAAAGAGTTGCAAGTAAAACTAGAAATATCATAAATAGCAAGGTTAATAAGTTTTTTTATAATACTGACTAAAATAAAAATAAAATAAGTCGTTCACTCATGTTTTAATTTGAATGTTGCTACCAGTTCATGGGGTCACACAATTAAAAATCTTTTTACCAAAATTTAATCTCTCCCATAAAATTAAAGGTATATTTACTTATCAGTATGATAATAAGATGATATAAATGATGGTTTTACGTAAATGCCAAAAACTTAAAATAATCACATCAGCATATTTGTATCACTCTCGACAAATTGGACCGCGAATGTGTAAGTGGTTAATACAGTAAATAATCTTCTAAACGAATCTAACATGTATCGGTTAATTATTTGGTTTTGTTGCTTTGGAATGGGAATTTGTGGGGTAAGTATGATTACTTAATATATTAATATTTTCGTATAATCTTTCTATATATATTTAAACAACATATCCATTGTTACGATTAATAGATATCAATTTAAGTAAATTACAACAAAAAATATCAACAAATTAGATAAAATTATAAATAACAACAAAATAGGAAAATACAAAATAAAAAATTGGATATTGCTGCCAAATTTACAATACACAACAATACAACCTAGATTTAGTAGAAAAAGCATATAGGAAATAATTTAACCAAAGCCCACCAAAAAATACAAGACTTTACTAATGTTACTAACGTAATCTAAATATTATTGACGTGAGTAAATAAAAAATAAAGATTTAAAAGGAATATAACTAAAGTGGACATTGTCAAAATAGATCACTTAAAAATCTGGAGTGATTAGCTTCTGGACCGCGACTATGCTCGAACCATCTTTTCCAAATTTACTTTTTATTAATTGTATCCTGTTTTATCATCCATCTTAACATTTTCTCTTTAGCTACATGCATAGGTCTTTATGACCTATATAACATTTAGTTCCGTAGAATATAGCTAATATTATGGGAGTGTTGTCTAATTTTCTCTTCCATTGGAATCTTTCTATCACATAACACATCACACGCTTTGTTTCACTTCATCCCGCCCTAAATCTACTACATGCATCTCTACCAACATACAACGTACCTTGTATTACCTACTCTAGATACTTCAATGTATTACTTTTTACAAAAATTTTATCATTTGTTATCATTTGTAGTGATAACTCTACCTTCAAGTGATTATTCCAATACTCTCACGAAGTTTAGAATATATAAATAAATATATATATATATATATATATATATATATATATATATATATATATATATATATATATATATATATATATATATATATATATGTGTATAGAGGAAAGGATGCAAATATGGGCTACCCATTTTGTATTTCTTTTTACACCAAGCTCTGTACAAGGTCTTCCGGAAGGCGTGGCAGACTTTCTGTAAAAGCTTGTTGTGGGAATAGCGACAAGCTGTGAACTAGCTGCAGAAATAGCATTAAGCTGTGTGTTACTTGTAGGAATAGTTTCAAGCTATTTATTAGGCCCAGATGTAAGAGTGGGAGAATTAGAGGATAAATTATTGTGGCTGGAACGACAATCTGGTGTGCTCTCAAAATTGATAGAGTTATCGTCAGAATTTGTAGGTTCATTTGAATTGACAGCAGCGTTTGAAACGACGATCACCTTATCATTCTCATCACTCGCATCATCAGGTGTGGCTGTCACAGTATTTTCTGCTTCAATTTCAGCTGCCATGAAATCGACATCTGTAAATATGTTTTTATTCAAGGGATAAATCCCTGTAGCTCTAAATCCATTAACGGCAATCTCTCCAGTTTGGCATTTCAAATAGGCTCTCCCAAAGAGCTCTGACCCATCAAATGCACTTAGTGGACGATTATTGTTGCGCAACCAGACCCGCATCTCTTCGCTGTAGTAAGCCTTAAGAACACCCATGTAAGTTTTGTCCAATGGCTGAAGTTTGTGGGTGCAATGGGGAGGCAAGACAATTATAGTGACATTATTATCTCTAACTGACTCTATGACATCTATATTACGTGTATGGCTGTAATGACCATCCATAATAAGCAGGATTGGTGATTTTTTTGTGGGTTTTACTGTGTCAATGAAATGTTTAAACCATCTTGTAAAAATATTGCTTTGTATCCGTTCACTGGGATGTACTACCATGATGGAACCTGGAGGAGCTCCTTTCATCAGTTGCTGGTTAATATTGTTACGTGGGAATATCATCATTGGTGGGATGAATTGGCCAGCAGCGCTCATCGACGTCACGACGGTTATCAGAGAGTCCCTTTAAGAAGAAATTAATGATGCAATTTGTTGTTTCCCTTTTCGGCCTACTGCCTGTGCAATCTTGTTTTGTACAACCGTAAGACCTGTCTCGTCCACATTGAAGATACATTCAGGTGGGTAAAATTAATTGTCATGTTCTGTTTCCAGAACATTGAAAAAGGATGCGACATTTTCTTTGTTAAAGCCTCTTGCTCGTGAATATGATGTTCCCGTTGGTCGTCGTACTGATAGCTGTTGGTGTTGCAGGAAAAGCCTCAGCCAGGCTCTGCCTGCCGTATTACCTCCAAACGGATGTTTGATATTGTTCCTGTAAGCTAAGACGTACGCCATCCTCCTAAGATCTTTTCTGGTTAATCCATGAAATTTAGCTTCCATTTCCAAAATATAACGCACTAACTCGTCCTCAAAATCATTCCCTAAGACAGCTTTACGCCCTAACTTTATTTGAGCAGCTTCAATTGGCTTTAGATCAAGTTTTTTTTGCAAAACGTTGCAAAGTAGAACGTGGGACATTAAACATTTTTGCAGCTTTCAGCGTACCCATTTCGTGCTGCCTGACAGCTATAATTGCACGTTCCATATCTCTCTCGTCCCATTTTTTTCTTTTTTTAGCTTCTTTCAGCTGTTGTTTTGACATCCTGAAACAATTGAAGTATGTTTTACATTGTTCTAAATATGGGCCACTGGCCCATAATGAAAACATGGGCATAGCCCATATTGTAAAAACCCTTGCTTTGCACAACAGAAGAGGTTATGTATAAAAGTAGTCAATTTGAAGAAAACTTATTAGCATTATATCAAAGACTGATTATAGAGCTTCAACGTGACACAGACGTTTTTTTTTAAATTAGTGTTTATTTTAACACTAGAAGAATTTATCAACTTACCCGAAAAAGTTTTGACACTCACACCAACCGACAAACAATTATTATAAACTGGAAAATGTCTACCACTGTGGCGCCATCGCTACGGTGGTAGTTTAACTTCGCCAAATACCGTTTGCAATAGTCAAAATGTAGAGATCTGCAACGAATAGCTGTGAATCGTTTATATTTCACTAACCCTAATATTAAGTTACTCGGATATTCTTTTACTTAAGCTTTTGCTACTGCTGATTTTACTATATTTTTGGAGACCTTATAGTTTTAAATATACAAATCCATCCAAAGTAGTAGGAGTAACCTAATTAATTATAGAAAATCTTTCTTTTATTTTCACCCAGATTAACGTGACAAAACAAGTGTTTTGTTTTGTTTAATCTCGAAAAAATTTATATTTACAATCATCTTTTAAAGAATTTCTTTTAACATTTACGGTTTTACTAAATTATTGTATTAAATTATATTTGTCTTTTTTTATTTTGACACACAGGCTGAAAAATATGATGATACAGTTATTGAAATTGTTAACGGTAAAATTCGTGGACAGGTAAGAAAATCCTTTACGGGAAAAGAGTTTATTGCTTATGAAGGAATACCCTATGCTGCGCCACCTACAGGACAAGGAAGGTTTAAGGTAAGAAAAAACTATGCACTTCTACTTATTTTATATTTAAGGAAATTTTTCCCTCTGATTATTTTGGGATATTTATTTTTGTTATGAAAAAGTAGTTCTTTAATACAATTTTTTAATACCTATAAATTTATAATTTGAAGCAATAATAAAATGAATACACAGTATTAGTATTAAATTAGGTAGACATGTAGCAAGCTATCTAGTGATATACCTACGTCACCGGCAAAAAATAATTTCTAATTTCATAAGATCTACCGAGGTAACTTTCTCTGAACAAATTACAAATAATTGGCTGGTATAAATCATTCAAAAGCTGTTTTTACCATTGAAAACTGGTACAAAGAAAATCTTTGGTTAGCAATCATTCAAAGAGAGTTTAACCTACGTAATAGAAATTTCCAAGAAATTTTCCCTAGCCTCTGATAGGTGGGCAGTGATAATTTCAAAGTAGTCACGTAATCAATGTCACATTGCATTCCAGCTTAGCTGGTCGCGTATTGGTTAGAGTTTTCAACTCTCGCATATTTGTCAGTGTCAGTTTAGTATTTCATCAGAGGGGTCCACGCATTTCTGGTTAAAGAATTTTTGGACCCTCGCGTATTAAGTATACCAAGTTATATTTATAAAGCTTATAGTTTAAAGGCTATATTTTTCACAAACACTTATTATGAATCACGTATATTATTACTAAAGAAACATCCTTGGTTCATGTGACAATTTTATTAGTAACATGTTTAAACTTTAACAGTGATTTGTGGTGTTTCGCTGACACGTGTAAAGTAGACAGTGGTCGGCAGTTTAGATATGAAAACTTTGCGCTAAAACTTTGGCTAGATCTTTACTTAGTTGTGGTAACAAAGTTTATAATTAAATTACGTATAGGTTAATACTTGTGTTCTAATTTTCCACGTTAGTGGGTGGTCCTTCGAATTCAAATTGATTACATTACTTCTTCTTCTTATGGTGCCCTATCCAATTAGTGAATGTTGGCAATAATTCTGGAATACTCCTCTCGACATTTGTTGTGTGATCTGTCCAGGGAATTTTAAGTAGTCTTCTAAATACCCACATTTCAAAGGCCTCCAATCGGTTCATCACATTGGCCTTTATGGTCCAGGTTTCTACACCATATAGCAGTATGGAGTAAATGTAAATTTTACAAAGCGATATTGAAGCATTAAGTTGAGGCTCCTGTTGCTTAGCAAGGTTCTTCTATCCTGCTACGTATCTCTATGTCTGGATCTAGGTCTTCAGTTATTCAACTACCGAGATATCAACTTGGGGACCTTTTGGATGTTCTTGTTGTTTACTTTTATATTCAATTGCATATTTCGTGTTCTACTAACCACCATTAGCTTCGTCTTGTCTATATTAATCTTCAAGCTCAGTCGTTCTCTTTCAGTGTTTATTCTATCTATTAGTCGTTGTAGCGCTTCTTGGCTATCAGCTATTATGACTGTATCATAAGCATAGCGAAGATTACTAATAGTCTGTCCGTTGATTTTGATTCCATCTTCAGTGTCACTTAAGGCTCTATCGAAAATCGTTTCAGAGTAAAGATTACAAAGGAGGGGTGACAGAACACATCCTTGTCGTACAACTTTTTCGATTGAGAAATATGATGTAGGTTCCAGTCCTACTCTCACAGATGCCACTCGATTCATATAAAGGTTCTTTATGAGTTAACGGTCATTCTCATCTATCGAACGTTCCTGGAGCAATCTTATTAATTCTGAATGATTAACACAATCGAATGCTTTCTGGTAATCTATAAAGCATAGGAAGATATATTTTTGCTGATATCTGCATTTCTGAAGTAGGACTGTTAAGCTATGAAGTGCTTCTCTTGTGCCAAATCCATGTCTGAAACCGAACTGTCTGGGGCTAATGTCTCTTTCACATGTGTTGTATATTCTTGTGTAAATTATCTTTAAGAAGAGTTTTAGGACCTGGCTCAATAAGCTGATTATTCGGAATTGGTCGGAACTATTAGCGTTTGGCTTTTTTGGGATTAGTATAAAGATTGATTGAAGCCAGTCCTGTGGTATTTGACCGGACCCATAAATGTCATTAAAAAGATCTACCAAGGTGTTTAAATTGTCTTCACTCAACATTGTTAGAACCTCTATGTATATGTCGTCTGGGCCTGGTGCTTTTCCCCATTTGCTCTGTTTGATTGCCCTTACAACTTCTGACTTCAATATTTTGGGGGAGGGTTCACTTTTATACTCACTTTCAGAGTTTCTTCTAGTTGTGTCTGAGTATAGTTGCTGTGAGTAGTTTCTCCAATGTTAAAGTAGATCTTTGGGATTGTCCTTCACAATACTGTTTAAACTGCAAGGTTTTGTATGACCTGTCACTTCTTTAGTAAGTCTACATTACTTAGTACGCTCTAAATTGTAGTAAGATCGCCAGAACAAATCTTCCGTTTTTTTTTCTGACATCCTTGTTCTAAACAATGTTATGATTTAGAATTTTTAATTTAAGCTGCTTAACTACACTTAAAAATCCATTCCGTAAATCGTACAAAATAAAAGGCTTCACTATGTGTCTGGTAATTAGCGCGTTTACGTAAATGTGTGGCACAAATTATCCCTGACATTACCGAATAACTGTCGCTATAAGTAGTCCCTCTTTTCTCAGTCAACATCTTCCGTTGGTAGAACTGAAAATAGAACACTACCTTGGACATGGAGATACAATAGACAACGAAAAACGACCATTTTAAAGTTATCTAAGAATATTTTAAGAATAATCGTCATGCCAAGTAATAGTGACGAAATAAGAGTTACTGATCATGGATTTGTACCCCACGTTGTCCATAAGCAAAATCACTTAAAAAGTTACTTAACTAAAATAAATAAAATTAGAAAAATTAAAATATGCACATGGAATCATAAAATGTTAGTTGAAATAGGAGAGCTTGCAAACCTTTTACATAAAATGAACAGGCTCGATGTCTCTGTTATAGAAGTCTACAAAACAGGGCGGACTATCATTCTCAAGACTATCAGATATATGACTAAAACAAACGATGAATCACATCAAAACAGCATAGCGGTTACACTGCAAATATAACTTGAAAAATATGTAAGAAGAGTTGTCCGATTATTAAATAGATTAATTCTAATACAATTATCTGCATTTGCAGTGCACATAAATATAGTACACATATACGCACCTAAAGCTGATAAAGAAAATACCGTGATTTAAATATTTTACCAATTTTTATCAGAAACCTTGGAATTAGAAACTACTCTTTATATTAATGGAAAGTTGGGTCTAGGAGAACGAAATGGAAGAGGAGAACGCTTGGTGCAGTCTTACCCGGAGGAAAAAATCGTAACTATTAATACTTGAATTTATCTATGCTAATATAAACTGTACACTTAGAAGTCTCCAGGTAATCAAAGAAACCTTATTGTAATAAATTAAATTAATTATATTACAACCAATGAGTGATTTAAAAACTTTATAAAATCGGTAAACACTTACCCAGGTGCCGATATTCAATCAGACGATTCTTTACTGTGCTCTACTATCACTGGCTGTAGAGAGTCCAAATATCCTGTAAAAATCTAAAAATTTCTTAGAATATTACTTAACTTGCACCTCAAGATCCATGTACTCTAAGCAACGTCTCTCAAGAAATTACCAAGTACTAAGCACTAAATTAGGTAGTTCTTCTCCTCCCAACAGCTGAAATAATATACTTAAGGACTGAAGAACTCATGTTCTCTGATACTCTCTGGTCTTTTTTTTGTATTCTCTTTCTTCCAAAATCCAAATGCGATTATCGATCTAGTACGGAACTGGGTAACAGTTATTCAGATCGCTAGGAGTCGTCTCATTTAAAGCTCCAATCCTAATTAACCCTGTTTTGATGTTGTTTTGCTAAAGAACCAATAAACAGTTCGAATGTAATTATAATTTCGAATTGTTTATAATTCCATGTGTCTGGTTTTTCTTGATCGACGATGATAAAATAAAATGTTAAATTCGTGGAGTAAAATATAGGCGTAAGATGGAAGATCTTGCGTAGACCACATATTTACCCTAACACAACTTAATGAAAAGAAAGTTGCAAGAAACCAGGCAATACATCTTTTATTTGTGGATCTCACAAAAACATATGACACGATTCTGCCTCTCTTCAATACTATTAAAGATCTATTTAAATGAAGCACTAAAACACTGGAGAAGATCCTGTTCAGGAATAGGGATCCAACTTGACGACGATACAACATTATACACTCTACATTTAGCGGATGACCAAGTAATAGTGGCAGCAGACAAGGAAGATTTAGAATTCATGACGAGACGGTTGTTTAAGACATATAAAGAATGGGGCCTCTCTGTAAATAGAAACAAAACGCAATACTTGCATCGGGAATGAAATAGAAGATCTAATGGTCAATGAACATGAAACAATTAAGAACTATGAGGAATATATATGTTTGGAAACAACAATCTACAAGAGTGGGGGCACCGAAAAAGAGATAGAGCAAAGAATCGTGAAAGGAAAAAGGGTGATAGGATGCCTAAATCCGATGCTATGGTCAAAAGAACTATCAAATCAAAGAAAGCATTTCCTCTTTAACTCCATCTTTGAAAGTATAGTGCTCTATGGATGCTAAACATGGCAACATACTAAATCCCTTGAGCGACGCCTACTTGCATTGGAAATGGACTTCTGGAGAAGATCAGCTAGAAAATCAAGGCTTGATAGAATACAAAATGACCATATCAGAAATATAATAAGAGTCAAGTCAACCATCATTGACGAAATTGCGAAAAGGCAATGTCGGAAAGAAACCTTCACCCTAGCGAATGGAATGACCGACGTAGCTGGAAATTGGGAACCGGAAGGCGGAGAAAGCTATAAAAAAAACCGGGATAATAAAAAAAATATAGGCTTATTGACAGCTCCTGAAATATTACTCTACAGTTGTTGTTAAGGTAAAAATTTGTAATATACTGCCCCCCAAAGTAATTCCGAA